GGAGCACACTTCAGATCATAGATACTTGTTATTCTGGGTGATGAGAAAAGTGGCTCCAAATGTGGGTGTAGTGAGCACAGTATGACCAAAGTAAATAATAAGAAATCAGACACACATAAGAGGGCAACAACTCCCACAAAGACCAAAAAACAAGTGTATGATAACATATGGATGGGTATAAGCATACAGGTTCATGGGTAGATAGAGGTGTATACATACGTGAGATCATATGTGAGAACAGATAGAAGTATCTATATGTATGTGTAAATACAGATTATGTGTGTACAGGCACATATATTCATTGAAGACACAACTACAGATACTCCTAAGACACAACTAAACACTTCCGAGATTGGTTTTCTAGGTTTGAAGGCTTAGGGCCATAGTCTCATGGGACAACTCAGTCAATTGGCATAATACAGTTCACAAAATTCATGTTCTGAATCCTAGTGAAGTGAGTAGCGTCTGCGGTCATAAAATCTTTTGAGTGGCTAAGATACAACTATTGGTCTCTACTCATCAGGAGCAGAAGAGTAAGAAGGCAACCAAAATCTCAGAGAAGAACTCTGAGACACTCTTTAAGCCCTGAATCAAAGCTACCCTGAGATCACCTTTTAATGAAATAGCAGAATGGCACACAAAATAAAGGATATTACTGTAAGAATAATGCTCTACTAAAAAACCATCTGTATAGAGACCAAAAGGTCAGTATTTGCTCTAAAGCAAAGAGGAGAAGATAAGGGGGAAGGGAAACTAGAGTACCGGAAGCGGAACAACCAGAACACAATTAAAGAAAATGCTGACACATTGTGAAAAATGAAACTAACGTCACAACAATTTGTGTGAAAACTGTCAAATGGGAACCTAACTTGTTGTGTAAACGTTCATAAAAAACACAATAAAATATTATTTTTTAAAGAAGAAATACCATTGTTGTTGTTGTGAGGTGTCACAGAGTGGATTTATGACTCAGGAACTAGAAATTCTAAAAAAACTGAACTTAAATCCAAGCTGTATTTCCTTTATCATTTATAAGCTTATGCTATGGCACTCTTTTATAATGAGAAAATGGTGAAGGAGTAAGATTAATACATGCTTCTTACAAATTAACTTATAATATACCAGGTTTTTATTATATCTAATTATTCAGGGAGACAAGTTAACGTGATATATCTATAATAATAAATTATATTACATTTGCATCAACACAGAAAAGCATCCCAACAGAGTTTTCTTACTTATCACTTTGAAATGTTCTAGCCAGTCACAATGTCAAGACTTTAGCTCGTACTTTATGTAAGGACTAAGATTAGGCTTACTAAAAGAAAAACAACTGCAAAAGCAGCCAATAAGGCATTCGTTTTGCTACTTAGTCTCTCTAACTAAACAAGAGTCAGTTGTTCGAACAGAATAAGGGGATACTGTGTGGTTTAAAATCAGAAAAACGTGTGAGTCACAGTTTTATTCTTTCACCATACTTCTTCAATCTGTATGCTGAACAACTAATCCCAGAAGCTGGACTATCTGAAGAAAGCTTTATCAGGACTGGAGGAAGACTCATTAACAACCTGGGATACGCAGATGACACAACCTTGCTTGGTGAAAGTGAAGAGGACTTGAAGCACTTACTGATGAAGATCAAAGACTACAGC